GGAAGGAAGGAAGGAAGGAGGGAAGGAGGGAGGGAGGGAGGGAGGGAGGGAAGGAGGGAAGGAAGGAAGGAGGGAGGGAGGGAGGGAGGGAGGGAAGGAAGGTAGGTAGGTAGGTAGGTAGGTGATTGTGACTTTGAGTTACAGGTGGGAGGGAGTAGAAAGAAGAGGATAGAAATGTTTGGGAAACAGAATTAATGGTAGTTGGTCATTTACTAGATGAGAGGGAAAAGGATCTAGAGTGGGAAAGAAGAGAGAAAAATGTTCAAAGACTTCTGGATCTCTGCCATTATTGTTTTTCTTAGCCGTGGTGTTGTCCTCTACGGGGTTAGGGAAGTCTGTAAGAAATGCAGGTTCAGTACAGATGAAAGGTCATGAGTTCAATTTCAGTCACATTAGTTTGGTACCTGTGACAATATCAAAGTGGAGAAGTTGAATGGGCAGTTGGATATAGATGTATCATGCTCAAAAGAAAGTCTGGGCTTGAAATAGAAATTTGGGAGTTTTTCTCAAAGCTATAGGAGTATGTGAAATGAGCCAGAACAAGAGAAAACACTGAGAAAAAGGGGTTAAGGACCAAGTCCCAAGGAATTTTAACAGAAGGGTCTGGTAGATGGGTAGGGTCCAGAGAAAGCGCACTGAGAAAAGACAAGAAGGCAAGAGGTTGGGAAAGCCATAGACGAATTTATTTCTAAAAGAAGGGAGCAGTTTACTAGGGTGCTAAATCCTGCTGGGAGGTCAAGTCAGCTCAGGCCTGGAGACTCCACTAAATTTAGGGACATGGACATTATTAGCCTAGTAGAGAGTGGCTGAAGACACATCACTAAAAAATGAAGATTCTTTTTTGACATAGAAGTGTCTCGTTTTGCTTTACGTTTTATTAATGTTAACTGACAAATCATAATTGTATATATTCATGGGGTACAATATGATGTTTTGCCACATGCATACAATGTGTGATGATTGAATCAAGCTAACTAACCTAGCCATCATCTCACTTACCTGTTATTTCTCATGGTAAGACATTTAAAATTTACTCTCTTATTTTGGGAAAATTCTTAAAAAGACAAAAAGAAAAGCGATCCAGAGCACTGGCCTTGGATGGGAAGAGATGTATACAGACATAACTAAGTCAGCAGATTCTGTGGTAGGAAGCTCAATTTTATTTTCTCTGTGAAATCACGACCATCTGCTGTGAATAGGTGGGTAGAGGAGAATTGGAGGTTGGAATGAAGCGAAACAGGTTTGAAATAGTCATTGCACAGAATGAGAAAAAAAGTGGCTAGTGAGCCACATGGGCCTGCTGTACAGTGAGGAAAGCCCAGGTGAGACTGCTCACCATGGATTTGGGCCAGTGCTTGGCATCTTGCTGCAGGCATAATGAAGGCCAACAGCTGAATTCATCCATGGTTACAGTTCTTTCTAGTGGATAAAAGCTGGTACCTAATAGGCTGGGCGTGGTGGCTTATGCTCCTAATCCCAGCACTTTGGAAGGCTGAGGTAGGTGGATCACTTGAGGCCAGAATTTGACCAACCTGGTGAAACCCTGTCTCTACTAAAAATACAAATAATTAGCTGGGCACGGTGGCATGTGTCTGTAATCCAGCTACTCAGGAGGCTGAGGCATGAGAATCACTTTAACCTGGGAGGCGGAGGTTGCAGTGAGCCAAGAACACTCCACTGCACTCTAGCCTGGGCAACAGAGTGAGACTCTTGTCAAAAAAAAAATAAAAATAAAAAAAAAGCTAGTAATAATTCACTCACAATATTTACAAAGTTCAGGGGAGTTGGGTCTTTTTAGTTATAACTTTACAGATGAAGCAAGGCTCCAAAACATGAAGTGACTTGGCTAAGGTCACTTAGCCACTAAGTAGCAGTTGCTAAAAATAGAGCCTGGATGTTTCTCCTTGTATACAGGGACTCCGGACATGAATTACTCAGTGTGGTCTGTGGATCAGTAACATTCTGTGAACTGTTTTAATCAATCCTCAAGGAGATAAAGACCTCGCCTGTAAATCAACTGTTCTACGAAGCACCCCGCTTAGTTCAACTGACACTGTATTTGAAAAATGTTCCAAGGATTATTAGTGAGCAGTCTGAACTTACCTACTTCAACCCTGTTACCATTAGCAAATATCAACTGTCATCATAAAGAACTAAAATACTGACACAGTAAATGAATAAATGTGATCACTTGTAAGATGTGGCTTCCAGTTTTAAACAACATACCATATCTACATGCATGGAATTCCTGTCAGCCTCACTATAAACCGCCACGGACTGTACACCCAGTTTTCTGGCTGTGCGCATCACCCTGCAGGCAATTTCTCCTCTGTTTGCAATGAGGACCTTGGTAATGTTTCTTCCTGTTTAAAACACCATGAAAATCACACAGAAATGTTACTGGAGAGCAAAGAATGAGAATGAGAATATGATATTAACTGACTGATTGGGACTCGAACTGGTAAGTTCAAGCTTTTTGGTAAAACTAGCAAAACTGAGTCCAAAATGACCACTTTAATATTAGTGCACTTCTTTTCACTGAAATTAAAGATACTCACGAACATAAATTACTCAGCTTTTTCAACTTAAAATACAGAACTACTTAAAATAAAATTAAAAGATGCTTTGTTTTGCCAAGGATCAAATTACAATAGTGTTAAAAATCATCATCGTTAATCATAACTAATCTTTAGTCTATTTATTTATTTATTTTTGAGGCCGTGTTTTGCTCTTGTCACCCAGTCTGGAGTATGATGGTGCGATCTCAGCTCACTGCAACCTCTGCCTCCTGGGTTCAAGCAGTTCTCCTGCTTCAGCCTCCCGAGGAGCTGAGATTACAGGCATCCGTCATCACACCCAGCTAATTTTTATATTTTTAGTAGAGCAGGGTTTCACCACATTGGCCAGGCTGGTCTTGAACTCCTGATCTCGGGTGATCCGCCTGCTTCGGCCTCCCAAGGTGCTGGATTACAGGTGTGAGCCACTGTGCCCGGCCAATAATAACTAACATTCAATATGCACTTTCTTTGCCTCAGGGTCCTGTGCTAAAGACTCAACGACGACTTAAATTTTCACAATAATCCTAATGAAATAGATACTACCATTGTTACCTCAATTTCAAAGATGAAGAAACCAATGCTCAAGCTATTATTATGCCCAAAATTACAGAGCTAAAGGAAGAATACAGGATTTGAGCCTAGCTCTGCATCACTCTGTTCCTCTGCCTCTACCCCTATGTACACAGGGGTGTGTGGTTCTCTTGCAACACTAGTGACTCTTACACCAGCCTACTGGCATTGCCACCATAATGACAAGCTGCTGTGTATAGAAAACGGTTTTTTTTCCTCGAGACGGAATCCTGTCACCCGGGCTGGAGTGCAGTGGCGTGATCTTGGCTCACTGCAACCTCCACCATCTGGGTTCAAGCGATTCTACTGTCTCAGCCTCCTAAGTAGCTGGGATTACAGGCGTGTGCCACCACGCCCGGCTAATTTATGAAATGTACTTCTAACATATACATATATAAAATGTACTTCTAATATCACATATGAAATAAATGTTCTTCGACGGTTCATAATAAAGTTATTTCTTCAATATAATCCATAGGCTCAACATAATAAAGTTATCTCTTATTTAAAAAACAATAAGGTTGCACATTATTTAAGCGTCTTTCCATGGGGCTCCGTAGAGCCCAAGACTTGTCACAGGGGCTGCTGGATGACTATGTATGTCTATGGGCAGGGGAGGAGAGCAGGGTAGGTAGAGGGTTATACCCAATCAACTGGAAGTTGTACTTTATTACACTTTTATATGTTTTATAGTTGGGAATTCCATGTTCAATTTTATGTGGAAAAAAAGGGTTTTGCTACTTAAAATAGCTTTTTCAAAGCACTGATTTTGACCATCGTAGTTAGGATTTTCCAATCCAATACACTAAGAGGGTGAAACAGACAGAACAACACGAATATAAAATCTTCTCCATTATTGCTCTCTGTATTTTACTTATGTATTTTATTTTTTATTTTTTTTTTATATAAAGACAGGGTTTCACCATGTTGGCCAGGCTGGTCTTGAACTCCTGATCTCAGGTGATCCGCCCACCTCGGCCTCCCAAAGTGCTGAGATTAGAGGCATGAGCCACCACGCCCGGCCGTTTTATTTATTTTTTAGTTTTTTTTTTCAGACAGAGTCTCACTTTGTCGCCCAGGTTGGAGTGAGTGGCACAATCTCAGCTCACTGCAACCTCCACCTCTTGGGTTCAAGAGATTCTACTGCCACAGCCTCCCAAGTAGCTGGGATTACAGGCAACCACCACCATGTCCAGCTAATTTTTGTAGTTTTTAATAGAGACAGGGTTTCACCATGTTGGCCAGGCTAGTTGAGAACTCCTGACCTCAGTTGAGCTGACTGCCTCAGTCTCTCAAAGTGCTGGGATTATGGGCGTGAGACACTGGCCTGGCTGCGCTCTGTATTTTAGACTCAACATCAAGAGAGATTTGATAAAAAAGAGGTGAAAACTACGACTTAACACTTTCTAAAAATCATCATGAAAATCCAAAATTTATAACTAATTCTATTACGCACATATTAAGGGATTAAACAGTTCCCTTTCTTAGTTCACAATCTGAAGCACAATCAGGCAGAACAAAGCCGCTCAGTACCTGTGGTTGTTGCGTACTTCATGGTTCTTTGCCTCCACATCCATGTCCTATAACATAAATCCAAATGGAATTGTAATTAAACAGAATAAGCAACACAATTATTCTTTTAAAAGAATTTAAGTTTCTTAAAACACAAAACCTTAAGCCAAATAACAGTGATTTAGTAAAGCTTTCCTGGTGGATAGAAAACTAATCTAGAAATCAAGAGTTAGAGGTCTAGCTGTTTTCCCTCGTACTACCTGTCCTTCAGCATGTCACCCAATCTGTTTGGTTCTGAGGCTGGCATATGACCACAAGGTCAGAGATGATTAACCAACCAAGGTATATCAAGATCATCTAGTTAAGCCTTTTGAAACCATTTTGGCTACAACTCATGATACAAACTACCCAGGACACACACAATTAAAACAGACGTTTTGTTAACAATGACTCATTCTGCCTTTTGGTACTTTCAGTTCTATCCTATTTTATTAAAATATGCTGGTCAATCCACAGTTTGAAAAATACTAATCAGGTTTAAACATGAGACGTGTAAAAAGTAAGACCAAAGAAATAAACAGAAGTTAAACAGAGGCAGCAGAAAGAATGTTGGCTGTGGGATCAGAAGCGCCAAGTTCTCATCCAAGTCCCTCCAATGGCCAGCTTGCCCAGCGTCAAGTCACTTTACATCAGTGTTCCTCAAACTGTTTTTTTTTTTTTTTTTTTTTTTTTTTTTACCCTCCTAATAAGAAAATTTTTTAAAGATTTTATTCCTTGTAGGAAGGGAGGGGTGAGGTTGAGCTTTGGAAGGCCGTGAACCATGACAACATGGTTTTCTGGCCCTCCCAATAATCCATTTCCACCCCTTTAGTGGCGGTATCATCCCAGTTGAGGAAGCAAGATTTGGTATCTGGGGCCTCAGTGTTCTCCAACCTGAGGTGAGACTGTAAGAGGTAATCTTAAAGGGACCTCTCAGATTTGAAAGTACTATACAATTCTATTCCAAATCCTTGTATTAAAAGAAAATAGAGAAATGGGGAGAGAAAATGACTTACAGCATCTTGAGGCAGAAGTATCAACAATTTTTTAAGTTTCATGATACCTGTTTATATAATAAGGTAACAGTGAAGCATTAACCAAAAGCTGACAGGAAACAGTCCAGATTCACTTTAGGAACAAAGAAATAAAATGTCTATGAAGTGTCAGCTAAAGAGCCTATGTGGGCAGGGCACGGTGGCTAATGCCTATAATCACAGCACTTTGGGAGGCTGAGGCAGACAAGTGACCTGAGGTTAAGAGTTCGAGACCAGCCTGGCCAACACGGTGAAACCCCATCTCCACTAAAAATACAAAAATTAGCCGGGCATGATGGCGGGCACCTATAATTCCAGCTACTCGGGAGGCTGAGGCAGGAGAATCGTTTGAACTCGGGAGGCAGAGGTTGCAGTGAACCAAGATCACCCCACCGCACTCCAGCCTGGGCGACAGAGTAAGACTCTGTCTCAAAAAAACAAACAAAAAAAAGAGCATAGGCAGGGAAACCAACAAATCGCAGAAGCAATTCCACCTACCCTTTTGTCTATACCTGGAAGATACAGTTATAAAGGACTAACCAGCTGTTTTAGATTCACAAAGCACAAGATAAAAGCACAGCGGTGCATTTGAATCTATGTAACTAGATAGCAGTATATACTTTATTTCACTGGCACTGAGATGCAGGAGACATCTATACATCTATATGTGTCACACACTCATCCCCCTACAATGTACAGTCTGGTGCTGCCATCCATGAGGGGCTGCTGGGAAGACCCACAGCTTTGGCAGGAGAGTTCCATGAGCTGCTTCCTCAGGAGACTGCCACTCTCCCATTCCTTTCCAATTCAGTCAGCCTTGCCTTCTTGACCTTGCAGGAGGGGGATCACTGTTCCTGATCTTTATGAGGTATTTTCTAGCACTGTTTGCCCTTCACATTCTTCAGACAGGTTTCTGATAAGTTTCAAGGCCTATTCTGGCAGACGTTATCTATTAAATGGTTGCTTCTTGGTAAAGCTAGCTTAAGAGTCTGATTAAGTTTCAAGCTACTGTTGACGTAAAGCTTTCTTTTGCAATCTTCTAGTGAAGACAGAAGGGAAAGAGAAAGAAAGAGGGAGAATGAGAGAGAGAGAGATCACACTTAACTATAATCTTCTATCCCAACAATGTTATGATCGATCTATTCCATTTTTCACAATGATCTAAGCTGAAACGTAAAAACAATGGCTTAAACAAGATTAAGAAGCTGCTTCCCAGATTCAAGGTAGCTCCATACCAGCTTATTGTCGTATCTATAATTCTGCCACTAGAGATTATTTTCTTTGAGCTACTAGAGATTCATAACATAAAAATAACGTAAACTATCTGTACTGATTTTTTTTGATTCGGATGTCACCCAGGATGGAGTACAGTGGTGTGTGGCCTGAAACCCCTGGGCTCAAGCCATCCTCGCCCACCTCATCCTTGCCCACCTCATCGTCCCAAGTAGCTGTGACTACAAGTGTGTGCCACTACATCTGGCTAATGTTTTAATGTTTTGTAAAGATGAGGTCTTACTATGTTGCCCAGGCTGGTCTTGAACTCACGCAATCCACCCACATTGGATGTCACAGTGCTGGGAAAGTTCTGAGAATACAGGCATGAATGAACTCTCCTGGCCCAGAGTTTAACTTTTATAAGCCATCAACAACTCTAACACTCTCCAGGGTGACACATACTTGAGAATAGTTCTGTAGACAATAGCCAAGCTTTGAAAGGGAAGAGAGGGAGAAAATGGGTCTGTATCCTGAAGAGCACTGCACACCTAAGAAAAGAAAAACCAGGGGAACAAAAGAACCAATTTTCTCATGTTTCTCTGGGCAGCTCTACAATTAAGTCACTAAAAAGGCCATCTACAATAATTTCTGGAAAATAAATGCAACCAAATGTTCATGTAAACGGTTGATTTTGCATTTATAGGTTGATTTTATGTACCAGATTCTGCTTAAACCTCTTTCCATGCGTTAATTCATTGAATTTTCACAACCCAAGGTACTAGTATCATCTCCTCCAAGGTGAGGAAATTAAAGAAGAAATATTAAGCAACTTATCACAAAGTCACACACCTGGTGAGTGGCCAACAAGACCTCAACCTTGACTGCAGAGTCTGTGCCCCTGAACACTAAACTGTCTTTCCACAATGACGGAGGATGACGATAACCATTAACCCAAAGACAACAAAGCAGCAAGCTATCTACGAGCCCGAGGGTGTCTTCGCTGCCAGTTACCGCCACCAAAGGCCAGAGCTCAAAATTTGAAACAAGAGCTGGAGGCATGTGAGCTAAAGGGAGTCACGTGACAGCGTTGTTGGACCCCGGCTGCGAGGTTCCCCAGCTCGGTGGAAGGAACCCTCTCTCCTCCCGACGACGTCGCTCCTTCCAACAACGGGAAGGAACTGCGGGGGTCCTTCCCAGGACCGACGCCCAGCGGGGCACAGCCGAGCTGAAAACGGCTTCGCGGGCATCCTGGCCCCCGTCCTGACCAGCTGTGTCCGCTGAGCAAGCCGCGGATCCGCTGGGGCTTCCCTGGAGCGGGATGGTCACCACGCTCGCACCGAAGGGGCGCCGCGGACGCCGAGGAAAACGGCTACGAGCTGCCGCGGCGGCGAGGGACGCCCGGGGGACGGCGGGCCCCTCCTCAGAGCGGAAGAGCAGAGCGGCGCGCGCAGGCGAGGTGCGCGGAGGCCGCCGTGGGGCTCCTCCCGACGCCGAGACTGCCCGCAGGACCCCGCGCGAGCGGCAGGGCTTTCTTCCGTCCTCCCCACCGCGAACCCCCGTCCCGCCGCCCCTCCCGCCGCCCACCCGGGTGCAAGCGCCCCCCTCGGCGCCATGGCCCCTCCACCCACCTCGGCGGCAGGAGCAGGCTCGGGAGCCGCTGCCACCGGTTTCTCTCCGCCGCCGCCGCCAGCAGTGCCGACACCGCGGAGACCGCCGCCATGTCCTTGGGTCCCCGCCGTTCCGCTACTCCCCGGCACAGCTGCGGCCGCGTCCCACGCGCCGAACCGGGCCCTCCGCTCCGAAGCCTCGAGAGCCCCGCCGGCCACCGTCGGAGCCTCAGCCTCGCTTGGGGCCGATCCGAGACTGTGAGGGCGTCTCCACAAACGCCAATCAGAGGCCAGAGTCCGGCTTCCGCAGCGACGATTGGTCAGTCTGGCCACGTGCCCGCGGGGGGTGTGGCCTTTGTTTCTGCGCCCCTTGGGCCTGCGCCGACTCCGGGAAGAGGTTTTCCCTTCCTCGGCCTTCTGGCTCCCTGTCACTTTCTTTCTGCCCCCGCGGGGTTCCTTCGCTCTCATCAGCTTCTGGGAAAAGACCCTGGGGGAAAAAGCCAGATACGGATGGACAGCAGGATACACAATTCTCTAGTGCTCTCAGGGGAGAATAAATAAATAAGCTAAATTGAAAATCTTTAAACCACCTGAGCTTGAAACACGTGTTCCTTCTATTGGGAAAAAGAGGAAGTTAAACAGCAAACAGGAATATCTAGAGGATAAAGATGCTGCAGACACTACAGGTGGATGCTTCGGGAGGAAAGCTGGAGGAAGAAATTAGTGAAGATAAAGGAAGAAATAAATGAATTCTGAAAGCCAGTATCAAAGGACTAATATACCCACAGGTTCACAAAAATTCATAAAATAGTTACCAAATCAGAAATAGAGAAAAATGCACATTTGACATGATTTAAAAAACATAAGCAGGGAAAAATCACACACAGGGGAAACAAATTGTAGATCTGTAAGATACTAATTTTGCTTAACTTCAAGTAAACTTAGAACTCTGGATGGAATGAATGATGTTACAAGAAAATACAATTTATCAAAATCGATCCTGGAAGAGACAAAATTTAAGCAAACCATTACCATAGAAAAACTAGAGAAGTTGATCAAGAACTGCCCTTGCTTCCACCCCCCACTTCCACCTTCACCTTCACCCCCAAAAGTTACAAAAGCCCACCTTGTCCTGCAAGAAAATTCCACACAAATGAGTAGTTGACTCAAACGCTATTAATTCTCTCCCAGAAAATAAAAAAGATGGAAGTGTTCCAAATTCTTTTTAAAAAGTAAATATTTTGATACCAAAATCAACAAAGATATCATGCACACAACAGATCATTTTCACTTATAAATATCAATGGAAAAATTCTAAATAAAATATTAACTGCACTGGGTGCTGCGTGTGGGAACCCAACCATATATGTGTGATATTGTGCTGGCCTAGAGCCAGAACCTGAGCAACGCTATTTTTATAAAATGCAAAACTGTTTTTTAAATAAGTTGAAGTGGCTGCCCCATTCTCCTCACAATAACTACGGTCCTTGGCCTCTGTAAATAGAACTGCTAGTTTGTTCTGCAAAACTATGTAAAGCTGCTTACCTTTCCTTATCAGTAACTGCTAAAATCTGTGACTTCTATCACCACCCAGACGATGTGTAAACAAATGTATATCTTGACTTCTGTAAACCACTGAAGTAACAAACAGAATGACAAAAGTCCCCTGGCCCTTGGAATGTCCGGAGACCCCCGCCCTTGTCTCCACCCGGGAGGTGAATCACAGAATCCCCTAGCCCTTGGAATGTCCGAAACCTTTTCATCCCCATCCCTGCCCCTCACCCCCACTCCCAAGGTGGTTTTTCGGGTATAAAAAATCGTGGCACCCTGCTTTTGGCACCACAGCTTGGAGAGACGTGAGTCCTCTGTGGTCGCCGGCATAATAAATGACCCTGCAATCTGGCATACTTTTGTCTTGGTGATAACTTTCTACACTCGGTCCAATACAACATATGAATACTTGCAAAGCGAGTTTCACAAGACGGGTGGTCGAGCCCAGACACAGGGACACCTGAAAGAGGGAAGTTGAGATAAAGTTGAGTCAGGAACAGAAAAAGGAGAATCCTGTTAAAAGATAACCAGGTGATCGGAACCAGGAAACCCTGCAGTCACAAGGAACGATGTCTTGATGTAAATGTTTTTTATGAGCACCAAGAATGACCATTACCTTTTACGACCACCGATTGTGTGTCTGCCATCCTTATTGTATAGAGTATGTGAGTTAGTGATCTGTTTTTTCTCTTACACTGACGTAAACCAGAGCCTGAAAAATGTATATAATCGAAGTCTCTGTGGAATAAAGTTGTTGGTGGAACATTGTTCCTCAACCCTCCTGACCCTGCCTGTTCTGTCTCCTTTTTCTTCCCGCGCACCCCCCACTCAGGTTGGATCCTCTTGCTGGACAAGAGTTGCCGGCAGCTGCGGCTCATGTCTTGTGACCCCATCACTTTGGGAGGCTGAGGTGGGAAGACCGCTTAAGCCTAGCAGCTTGAGACCAGCTTGGACAACATAGTGAGACCCCCATCTGTACAAAATTTTTTTTAAAAACTGGGCATGATGATGCATGCCTGTAGTCCCAACTACTTGGGAGACTCAGGCAGGAGGATCACCTGAATCCAGGAGTTTGAAGCTACAATGAGCTCTTATCATGCCATTGTACTCCTGCCTGGGTAACAGTGAGAGATTGTCTCCAAGAAATCAAAAAAATTAACTAAAGTATCTTGTAGCATATGAAAAGAATACCACACTGTAAGAGTACAGGGAAGGAATAGCATTAGGAGAAATACCGAATTTGATGACGTGCTGATGGTGGATGCAGCAAACCACCATGGCACGTGTATGCCTATGTAACAAATCTGCACGTTCTGCATGTGTACCCCAGAACTTAAAGTACAATTTTAAAAAGACAGTGTTTTCATGCTTGCATTCCTGATAACAAAAAGTGTCACAAAAGACTGCCAAACCACTGTTAAAACAGGAGCTTTGAATGAAGAGACCCCCCCACCCAAACAGGCTTTGTGTGAGCAACCTGGCTGTTTATTCACCTGGGTGCAGGTGGGCCGAGGCCGAAAAGGGCATCAGCAAAAGGCAGTGGGATAGGAGTTGGTTTTATAGGTTGGGGCAAATCATTTGGGAAGGGGGCAGGGGTGTTACAGAGTAAGATCAGTTACAGTGGTGCGGGTAGGGGCAAGGAGAATACATTACCGTAAGTTCAGTTACAATGGGGGGTGGGGTAAGGCTAAGAGTAATTAAGATGGTAGGGTGGGCTGGGTGGGGGGGGAGGCAGGAGAATTGCCTGAACCCAGAAGGCGGAGGTTGCCGTGAGCCGAGATGATCTCGCCATTGCACTCCAGCCTGGGTAACAAGCGAAACTCCGTCTCAAAAAGAAAGAAAAAAGATGGCATAGTGCAGTGAAAAGCTCAATGTGGGGGAAGCTCCTCTGGGCGATCAGGGATAATGGCATAATGCCGATCACAGGTGGGGGGATGGGAGATGAGGGGGTAGGAGG